TAAGTTAAAGATTAATAAATGAGGCTGATTTTGCCAAAGATTTCAAACATTTTTTGGAAGAACTTCAAGTCAAAGTTATATTCCATGTTTATATCTGACATTTGTATTATTTTATATGATTTAGGCGAGTGATAAAAAGTTTGCTTCATCACAAAATCTATGCTTGGGCATGAAAACGGTTTCATGATACGGGCCCTGGTGATTCAGGTGAATCAGATGGCTTTACTCTTGTTTCTGACCACTCTGTTATACCATTGTAGGCTGCTCTCATCAGTATCGTTTTATTGTACAGAGTAGAGGCCAAACAAATAGTTTCACAGCTCTAAAAGAGATCCTAGAGTGTAGTTGACACTCACCAGCGTTTGATCTGTATTTGTTCATTAAAAAAGTATTTTTTTCTCTTTCCAGATTTTGCTTTCAATTACATGACCCAGAACAATTCCTCTTTAAGAAATGGTGATGATAATATGTGTCAAATTCAAGATGGTCACCTACAGACATTGTAAGGAATTTTCTTCTACATGATAACAGGAAGAGTTTAGGTATTCTGCACTTGATCTAATGACCTCTGTGTTTAATTTTACTGATAGATGCTAATTTACTGGTTCATTCGTTGCCAATAGAGATACAGAAGTATGCCAACTTGTATTTATTTCAATCAAAAGATTAAAGATGATGCAGAGATGACTTTATGCATACGTGGCAAAATTTGATTATTTCTGAAATTAGATTGGATAACAGTCTTCATTCAATGAACATTTTTGCAGCTATACTCATTGTATTTGTGTAGAAATGATGTGATATTTTTTATGCATATTTTAGATATTCAATAATTACTAAAAGCCAATAATAGAAAAATGAAATAACGCTGTCAAGTTCGTTCACAAGTTTTCTAGAAGATTAGAAGGAACATGAACTATTCTGGATTCTCCGTTTCCGTGAATCGTAGTTAATTGAAATATTAATTTGAAATGCATGTCAGTTATGTACAACGTCAATGTTCCAAACATAACCTAATTGAATGTCACAGATCACTCTAGTGCTTCCATTTTCTTGATTTCCATTTCGGTGGTTAACTTCAGCATATAAAAATAGCATTGAATAGGCTTATGAATAACAAAGAATGCAGAAGTGGGTCCATTCTCCTGTAAAAATGCTGATATTATGTTCATTCATCTGCATTTCAGTGATTCAGCTTCGGCGAAAATCGACAGTGATTCGCGAATTCTGGAAAATCAATTTAAAATAAATGGAAGTCAAATAATCTTTGAATATTTTACAAAAAAGCAATAACTTTTATCAAATAAAGCTATATATAATATAGTCCGTCCGTTAGTTGGTATTTTCATAAATAAGGACTAAAATGTTTCTACGTGGAATTAACCCACTATTTTTGCATACAAACCAACATGTCATTAAAGAACACGATTCTAGGTCCATTCTCTACAACTATGATTGATACAAGTCTATTTTCCCTCCATTTTGGTAATGGTCATAGTATTTATCATTACTAAATATTGATGGCTTTGGATTACAACTTTCACGAGTTATATTCATCTCAAATTACCACCATGGTCATACTGAAAGAGTTATGGGACAAAAAAGAGATATTTTACCACCTTATGTATTGCGTTTCAACCAGAGTCGAAAGCAAACTTAATTACAGGAACAGGCGGGTTATGAGGAGCAATGGGACGTTATGATTATTTTGTTTTCAAAGAGCCACAAATCAGGTGAACAAATTATCAGAGTGGCAAGTGGGCGACAAAGGGCATGAGTATGAACATGACAATTATTAGAGTGATAAAAGGGGGGATGAGGGTGGGGTAGGGGGTGGGGGGCAAAGGACAGGGGGACAAGAGGGGCACCAGAGAGCAGGAAGGCGAGAGTGATGATGGAACAGACGTATTTGAAAGTGACGATAGGGCGTATTGAGATCAAACAGATGAGAAAGTTGACATCAGTAATGGAGACAAAGGGGCGATAGGAGACTTTAACAACGAGGCAGACGCTGATTCTAGGACGGGAGATCGATTAGATGACTGCACTTTACTTGACATGCCAACACTTGTTAAATCGACGGAATATATAGATTCTATCCCGTTCAGGACCAAAAACAATGTATATTATATATAGAACTACGACAGAAACCAAAAAGATCAAACATCTGACACGTACATTTTCTGACCACTGGGCGGACTTGGATTCAAAATAAGGATTTTCACCACAAACGAGTGATTAAATTACTTACGACGGACAAGACTTAAAGAAACTTTTTAGGAGCACAGATAACAGTCAGAGGACTTTCGGTGATGAAGCTCAATGTCAGAGAAAACAAACAAGGTGCAGAGACAATATGAAACGCTGAAATTAGACAATAACCACAAGTCGTGACTTAGTCAGTAGAATGAATATATAATACAAGACATTTGGCTGTTGTAAAGTACAGTGTACTTTGCAAATTACCTCAGTCTGGTGCCCTACGCGAACACCAAAACTGACAATATAGGTTACATTAGAACTCCAACAGATATTAATAGAGATAAATGACATACTTAAGCAAGGTGGTACAAAACCCAGAAACAATTATGACAAAATAGTGCGGAAGAATTGATGACTCCACCTGCAAAACGAAAAGATAATCATCCTTTTGTCAGATCTGTGATAAACTCCTCTGGAAAAAACACCCAGCGTGGTATTGTATATGGCCTGTGTGACATGCACGTGACTTGTTTCAAGCAATTGGCTGTGAAGAGACACACGTGCTTTGTTTATTGAACCTAGGTATATAAACAACAGTAGTGATTATGAAAGCTGCAGCTATTTGGTCGCTTACCTTAAAACCAAACTGCTTGTTACTCACTTGCCGAACCTGGTGATCAGTGCGGATGACAGAGGACTGATGGTTAACGCCATTTTACTGAATCGACCCGCATACTTAACGCAGAAGACACTTGCGGAAGAACGTGATATCAATAGAACGACAGAACAGACATACGCGACAAGTTCTTCAGTGAAAACGGCATACTTGCCAGTCATGACACAAATTTCTTTTGGTGAGCACGGCGACAAATCTAAACGTTATATCAATCGACGGCCCGTAATTTTGAGTCATTTTTCGACAGACATTTGAAGGACCTTCTACGAACAAAGGTCAGCGAACCTGAACAAATAGACAAGAATGAGAAACATTGGACAAACAACAATTGCAGAAGTATAAATCAGCAGACAGTTGACTGGAAAAGCAAGCCACTGACAGAGCTGGTACAATTAGCCCAAGACCTTTTTACTATTCACTATCTGCAACACGCATAACTGCAGACAGGACAGTACAGACTGGCAGACAGCCACAACCAGTCCCAAATGCACAGAGACATATGATTTAGGAAGAGTACAGATGAACGCAACAAGCATTGCAGAAGGTTCAGACATTATGTACACAAAAGCAAATTAGAAGTTACCTCAACTGATGGCCAGATATTAATTCAGTGACCAAAGACACACGGTAAGAAACTAGAACACCAATAACAACTAAGAGAAAACAAATAGTGTCTGAGGACACAATGGCAGAACCCTCGCTATTTCCTTACCATGGGAAACCTAGAAATAGGTTTGGATGGTCGGACAACTGTGAATCCTGTTATACGAATGACCAGATATTAATTCGGGGACATAGGACGCACGGTACGTAAAACAGCCGAAAGAACAACAAAGAGACTAAAAAAGTAATGACTGACGTCACCATATCCTTAACCTGGGAAACCTAGAAATATGCCAGGACGGTCGAACAAGTGAAAATATCTTTGTTGCAAGTGTGAACAAATCCTAAATCTTGAGGTTACTCAGTGATCTACGTCATGACAATTCCAAAAACTGAACTAGGGGGTTGGAATTGACGCTTTTATTTATCTATCTAGCTCTTTATTTTTTAAATGTAGAATTGCTATATACCGAGGTCCTGGCTTTATTAACCATTTCCCTTTTTAAGTCTGAGTGTAAAAATGCATATGTGTTTGCACTGTACATGTAGATGTCTTTGAAATGATCGGCTGTGATCAATGCCGAACCTAGTTTACCATTTACATTTTAAAAACTATTTTGGTTCATTGTAACAAGTTGAAAAAGATCCCTATGGCGATTGTTGCTTATAGGCGGTGCATGTCGTATTCTCTGTTGTAGTGTTACAGCAAAGGGCCCTATTACTGAAGATTCTGAAGAAAATTATTGGTAAATACGAGGTAGGTTAATTCACTGGACAATTTGCGGCTATACACCATGCTTTGGTTAGCTTTGTCCTGAGATTTTACAGTTCCTACTATCATAACAGATCGGTTTGTACATATCGTACGTAAGTTATAGTAAAACATGTTTATTGTTGGGGTTATCAAGTAGTTATTACTCTGACAAGGGAGACAACTTGTCCGATCACGTTAGAGAAGTATGTTTATTTTATTTACCTGCATTGATATTTTAACAAAAAAATTAATGAGAGATTTTAAATATAAAAGTATATTAATATCATCCATTTTATTGACGTAAATCATTTTTCACTGTTTTATTTTTAGATAAATCTAAACAATGTTTAGAGAAACTTACTGGTATTTTATAACATACCAACATAACTACCTGGTATAACAAATTAGATGGCAATAACAAGACACTTCATTATGACTGTGACCATTCAAGTTATAGTTCTTATTGTTCTTGTTCTGCCTTAAACTGTTAATGTCAACTTGTCAACAGATTACATCAAAGAGTTGATGGAGGAGGTTGTAGTCAGAAGGCTACAATTCACAACCATCCAACAGGCTGAAGCAGCTCTTTTTGAGGAAATGGATGCTCCCCCTCCTTCCATTGCAAGTCAACTCCGCAGTGCCATGGGGAATTTTGACAGAGATGTTATCATCCATAACAATTGTCAGAGATTTACGAGCTATGTCAGAAACGAGGGTACTTGAAACCAGGATATTGTTGTGATGGAAATTGTTTCCGTATGGCAGTCACAGCACATGATGGTATGACCTGTCGATTTTTTCCCCTAGTACTTTCCATGTCCACCTGATGAAGCGACGATATGCTACAAGCCGATACTTCCTGAAGTGACAAAAATTGTTATCAAATTTCTTAAGTTTGAAGACACTGGTACATGTAGGCATATATACAAGTATTTGCAGTGTAATTTAAGTGCTACAAAATGGACTGTGGTCAACATTTATTGCTAATCCATTAATTAGTAGTGAAATATAGGAATTAATTATTTAGTTAGGTATGCAATGTAGGGGTTTAATTAGTAATAGAGGGTACCAATGTTGTATATAATCTGTGAGACAAAGATGTTCATTTAAATTGTCATTTACATTATATACCTGTGAATGTCTTCTTGTCTTCCTGGGCCGTGTGTTTCAGAATATTCATAATAGGATGTTTCCAGGACATGCATGTTTAGACAATTCGCAATAAACCCTTCATGTTGGGTGATACAGCCTATGTCGGTCAACTTTTCTTCTAATATGCTCATGTCCTGACAGCATTTTCTTTCGTCCTCAGTGGACATATGGGAACACATGTTACAGGAACACCTGAAACGAAATGTATAGATTTATAGTGTAATATATTGTAAGATATCTTGAAAATGTTATTTAAGAACAAATTGTACATAGAGTAAAAAAGTTATTATGCAGCCATCCATTGACTTTTTATTTATCATAATGCATTTGAGGTACTATAATGTTCTGATTAATAAATATAATCGTAAAATAATGAGCATGTGTCATGTTTCTGCTGGAAAGTACATCGTTCACGTACTAAAATACTTGCAGGAAAGAGGTAAAATGTACAAACAGAAGAGTCAAAGTGAATGAAAATGTACACACCAGGAGAACGTAAACTGTTTGAAAAATTATATCAATACAAACTAATGAAGAAAAACAAATAATTTCATAAACATATTGATTTCATGACAATGTTAATGATCAGTAGACCTGTTGGTATATGAACAATAAACGGAAGAATGCCTTGCTTACCGGCGGATAAAGCGGTAAACAAATACGTATTTTTTCCGCTTTTGTTTTGACGATAGAAAAAATTAAAAAAAAAAAATTGAATACAGTTTATAGATGACATACAATTATCGAAATCTGAACAACAATAAAGTCGTGTAGTTGCAATGAAAACTAACCATTCTCCGACAGGTTGATCGGAAGCCATGCTATCTTCGTCATCCTCGTCACCTCTTATATGCAGTTCCTCGGAACAATCTGACGAATCTGAGTCGATATGATCGTCATTGTTCGATGTCTCAGGTTCATACATATATGGATGGATACATAGCGTGAATGAAACCTCTGGGATATCGTCACTGTCGCTACAATCGGAGTTATATACGTGCGCCATAGTCAAGTTTCGTTGGATCGGCGATTGTCACTTATGACGTCACAGCGGTTTCGAATTCACGGACGATAACTCAGGCAAGATTCTTTGATGCGATTTCAACCGAACATTTATTATTTCAACATTTCGAGATAAACGACACACATATAACTTCTGAAAGTTATAAATATATTAAATTTAATAACCAGGGAACGTCATAAATAAGGAAATTTACAAAAACAAAAGTGCATTTCGTTCACCTTTAACG